GCTCCAACGCGGTGGCAGACTTGGCCAGTTGGGAGTTCGTCAGCAGCGGTAGACCGTCGTGGGATTCGAAGATCAGGGAGTGCCGACTGCCTGGCACGCCCTTCACCACAGACTGGGCGCTGCCTGTCTGTGCCTTCGCGTGCTCACAGAAGCTGCCAGACAGGCGCAAGAAGTCGCTAAAACATGGCAAGAAGCTGGTTTGAGAGGGCAGCGACACAAAGGTGCATTCCCAGAACGGGATCGGAAAGCAGCAGACAGCGGATGGAGATGCAGATCAGTTTTAAAAATGACAGAGTCCCTCACCTACTGGAACACGGTATAAATCAATGTGACTGCAAACAAACACCGAACTGATTTTAGGCTTTCGGCAAGACTGTCGTGTACAGTGGAGCCTCGGTTAACGAGGTTAATCCGTTTCGCCACCGAGCTCGTCATGTGAAACGCTCATCTTGCGAAACTTAGCCAAGCAAACTGCATCAGTTCACTGATTTGGCTGCAGGCGACCGAGGACACACGCCTCGGAAGCAATCCCTAACGAGGGACACAGATACGGATACACACAGACACCCGCACTGACGACCCGTTAACTCAGCGGAAGCTCGTAAAGCGAAACGATTTTCCTGCTAGTAGCTTGCTCGCTGCTTGAAATGTTCGTAGATCGGGCTGGTCTTCATCTGCGACTCCACGATACATTTACAAGAAATTATACTTGCGTCCCTGCATGATCAGAGAAACTCCCAGGCAGGCGAAGGAATTTGCTAACACGAAAAACGTGTCAACAGTTTGGCTTGAATTCAAAGACGCCCCCTTGCATCCATAGCATGGAATTAAATAACAGCATGAAAGGATATTTTTAAAGACTTAACCTTTTACAATGCAAAGTCATTAACCTAACGGAACTTGTTAGAAATCAAAAGCTGTTACTGGATTAAACACTGAACTTCCCAAATATCTGACTTTCAACAAGAGTGCCAAGGAAAATTAGGGTACTTTTACTATGAATCGGAAATTATCCCTCGGTCAGGTTACAGGACATATGCGCACTTTTTGTCTTGGAGGTTCAGTCTAGAGCCCTCACAGGCCGTCACATACCAACCAGTATTGGCGCAGGTTAATAAGTCAGAACTGGCCACCCAGTCAGTATGCCCTTTCCGTATTCGGCTATCAGGCCCTGTAAAGTTCGGCTAACTGACCACGGTTAAAAAGCCCGAAACAACCGCCCCGCTGTCTATTGTACTGTTCAGTACTTCTAAATGGTTGGTTCCTGCCCAACTAAGAATTTTAAGGGTCATCCATTCCAATTACGCATGCCTTAATAGACCCATCAAAGTAGATGCCGCGCACAGCAACTTCCGAAAAATTGAAAAAGCGGCAGCCAATCTGGACGAGGTGTAAATCCACAGTAACAACTATTGGTAGGAATGACTAAACCTTATTTATTTTTCCGACAAGCTAGCAATTTTAACTGTGTTGCACATTTACTGCACGTCTGACGACGGCGGTCTGGGAATCCGACGTCGTTGGTTGGTTGGTTGGTTGGTTGGTTGGTTGGTTGGTTGGTTGGTTGGTTGGTTAGTAGCCCTCGTTGGGACAGGAGTCCCCACCGGAGTCCAAAGTTGGGAGACGGAGAAAAGCCGCGACCTCAGCCAACTTGAGCCAAAGGTCCACAGGGGTGAGTTAATCCAACGTCGTAAATGTACACAATAAAGTTTGATATCATTTCCCAAAGGACTAATTTCCTTCGAATACTTACTGTCTACAAGGATTCCAGCTTAAATTCCAATCTGATTGGTAGTCGCCTTCTTATGATAGCAAATACCTCCAATCAAAGTCATCAAAACAACGGGCAAGTGACTCATTGGTAGAGCGCTGGACTTAAAAACGCTCTACGGTGAAAGAATTCTGGTTCCAATGCCAGTTTATTCAAGCTCGGGGCGATATTATTGGCCGACGAGGACAGACTACTAAATCAGAAATGATTATTCAGGCCTCCGTCGTTCTAGCTGGTGTTCCCTTTTTGCAGGAGGAATTAGTTTTATAATGTACATATTTCTTTTGAATGGAGTTTATTTCGCAAAAATGGTGGCCGGGAAGATATTCGAGAGTAGGAAAGGATATTCCGTAAAGGTTTAACGAGTATCGCTACCCACTACACATGTTCTGACACTGTGGGCGGTTGACGACAGCTTAATCATGCAAAGGTTTTACAATATACGCATGGCTGCCCGGCCTTTTCGTAGCTCGCCCGTCAAAGCGGTGAGAGGCAGGTACATTAGCTAGGCGAATCTAACTTATCCCAGCCGTCAATTTAATTAAGACTGCAGAGGGTGACGAAACTTTTCGCCCTGGGAAACACAAGAAAACAGTCTCCCCGTGACAAGTCATTGCCCACTAGTAGATCAGGAAGCTTTTCAGTAGAGTACGACAGGATTGTTCTGAGCTTCTACGATCTCCTGACAGCACTGTCAAGCTTCTAACTGTCAACCCATCGCTCCCTTATGAAATATTGGCTAGCGGTGCGAGCACCAATGCAACAACACCAGTACTATTACAATTAGTAGAATTAATAATACTAGCTGGATTAATAGAAGTGGTAGTAGCAGTGGCAACAGTGATCGTAGAAGTAGTGCTAACAACGATAATATAAATGCAAAATTCAATATTGTGTAGTGGCCCCACTCCGCGTGCAACGCTCGCCTTTCGTAACTGCTATCACGTGCCAATATCTGTCTTCCCCAACAGTGGTAACGGTAATAGTAGTAACAGTGATAGCAGTAATAGTTAAAACACTAGCAAGGATGGTGATAGCAGTAGTAGTAATAGTATTATTAGTAGAAGTAGTAGTAATAGCAGCGGCAGTAGTAATAGTAGAAGTGTTAGTAGTATTGGCAGCAGTGGCGTTAGTAGTAGTAATATGAGAAGTAGTATTAGCAATGGTATCTGCAATATAGATATAAATAGCAGTAATACTAATAGTAGTAGTAGAATTGGTTGTTGTAGCAGAGATGGCAGCAATAGTAGTAGTGCCAGTAATAGTAGAAGTAGCAGCAGTGGTATTATAAGTATTTATTGTATTAGTAGTAGTAGTAGCTGTAACAGTAGAAGTAATAGTACCAGTGATAACAAAAGTATTAGTGGTAGAAGCAGTAGTAGAAGTAGTAGTAGTAGTAGTAGTAGTAGTAGTAGTAGTAGCATAGTATAAAAAGTAGTATTATTGGGAGTGGTGGTAATAGTAGTGGTAGCATTAATAGTATAAGTAGTAATGACAGTGGTGGTGATAGTAGTAGTAGCAGCAATAGTATAAATAGTAGTAGAAGTAGCAGTGGAGTGGTGGTAATAGTAGAAATAGTATGATTGGTAGTAGCGATACCAATGGTAGTGGTAGAATTAACAGTAGTAGTAACAGTAATAGTATAGGTAATAGCATTAGAAGTAGTAGGAGTGATGGTAGATGAAACGCAGTGAGGAGAGATCCAGGAACAGTGCCTTATTGCATTTTCAGAGCGGCACGTTGATTGGCTAGAGCCCAATTGCGAAGGCGCTTAAACAGAAGTGCATAACAAACTGTTGCAGTTTAGACAGAATGGTCAGTTTATTGTTGACAAAACTCTGCCCTCGGGCATAAACACCG